TTTTTTTTTTTTTTTTTTTTTTTTTTTTTTTTTTTTTTTTTTTTTTTTTTTTTTTTTTTTTTTTTTTTTTTGAGTTGGGAAAATTTAATGATTTTGAGTCATACGAGGATTTCTATTGATTGTATTGAGGGAATTTGGACTGGGCCGAAACCAGAATAAAAAGCCCACTATACCCTGCAGCTTCAATAGTCTTAGGCCCAACAATGGTCTTACGTTTGGGCCTTTGAAGATCCCGACATGGGCCTACGCAAAATAATTGAACAATAGTCTTATATCATGATTTATCATAAATTTAAAATTATTAATTTTCATTTCAATTTCTTAGTTATTTTGGAGTGATAATTCTCCGTTAAATTAAAGTAGCACAGTCGATCAAATATGAGCGATATGTTATTTATAGAAAACAAAAACGTGTTATGCATCACCATAGAATATGTCAAATACTCAGATGTTTAAATTGATGGATAAAAATAACTTTCAATTAATTTCTTAAAAAATAAAATTAATAAAAATAATAATAATTTTGAAGTCAACCATTGGACTTTTAAAAAATGTGAATAAATGAGAGAGGATCGGCTGCACGTCCTTTATTTAGGTCAACTGTGCATTAAAATAACTCCATAATTAATTTCCTCTCTCAATGTCTCTTTTCAATTAAAAGAAAAATAAATTTGATAATTAAATTATTTTTTAGGGTTAAATTTTGTAGCCATGAAATAAATTTAAACGTGAAAATTAAATTCCCAATGGTTATTTTTTGGACCAATAATTTAATAAAATAATGGCAGTCTTGAAATTAGAGAGACAAGCAGTTGGCGGCCATGGATCACGAGTCAATTAGTTCGACTGGGCACCAACCCTTCACCCATTTTTTCCCTTTTGGGTAGTTATGACATTGAAGAAATGGGGTTTGACTTTGCATTTAATTTTGGTTTGACTTCTTTCCGTTTACTCTCCGTGGTTTCACAACCAACCATTACCCGATATTTTATCCACATTTATCTACCAAAACAGTGATACAATATGAACTCGTCATCGTTAAATTCAAATTAACAGTAAAGAGAAAAAAAATAGATCAAATATGATAAAGAACACTTGGTTTGAGATTTGAATAATTCCACGAGTAAAATTAATCAAATTTGAATAATTTTAAACAGGTTGATGGTAAGGGAGCTTCAAGAGAAAGTAAGATTCATATTATCTTATTGATCAAATATATGAGGGTGACCACACTTTTTTTAGATTTAAATCACTCCACAGTATACTTTGCAAAGACAGCCTACCTAGTTTTACATAGCTTCAAAATGAAAATCATTGATTTTTCATCCTAATTTATGACCATAAATAAATAGTCACTTGTATATTGTAGGGTCATAATTAGCCACCATGTAAATATAACATTAAATATTATCATCCATCCAAATTTTGTAATCATAAAAATATTTTTTAAAATTTATATTACACGATTGAGATATCTTAGTTTACATGACACTCTAAGAAAATTAATGGTACATTTTTGGAAGTGGGGGCTGAGCACGGAACAATATATGGCACTCACACTGGGGCACTAGATTTGAACTTTGGTTTTAGGTTTCGATTACATTTCCACCACCTTTTTAATTATATTTTTCGTAGTGCGTAAAAAAAGAAAAAACATTTTCATAAAGATGGTAGATTTTGAAGCTGAGAATATTATAATATCATATAATTTTGCCTTTTTTGGTTCATCGTGCTTAGAGATCATCCACTGGCCTTGATTTGGATTTGTATATATCTTCCCTTACTGCCCCTTTGCTTACTCCCTTTTAATGCCTAACTCTTGACTTTCTTTTCCGTTGTGTCTCTGTGCTTCTGTTCCGTCGCAAATATGTGCGGACTGATCACCAACTCGGCGGCGACTCACTCACGTGTCGTTTTGGCGCTTGTTTTTATCACTCTTTTCCACTTTCTCATTTCGGTATCTACGGCCGCGACTCGGCAGGAACTCGCTCGCGGCTTCAGAGCCTCGCCGGACACGGCGGTCCGGTCGTTTCAGCCTCTCTTAAACGATCCAACCGGAAACTTCTCTCTGGGTTTCCTCCGAGTTGAGGAAACTCAGCTTGCCGTCGTGATTCTCCACGTGGCGTCGTCGGAGACAATCTGGACCGTTAATCTTACAACCTTTCCGGCCTGGACCGACCGGGCTCTGCTCCGGTTCGATGGCGGTTTTGTTCTTTCCGATGCGGATGGGAGGGTAGTTTGGTCAACTGATACCGCCGGAGACCGTGCCGTGCTCCTGAACTCGTCGAATTTACAAATTCAACTCGCCCGTGATCCGCCGGTGGTTCTGTGGCAGAGTTTTGACTTTCCGGCAGATACCCTGGTGGAGAATCAGAATTTCAGCTCGGAAATGGCGTTGATTTCTTCGAATAGAGCGTATTCGGCCCGATTGGGGGCCGATTTTATTGGACTGTATGCAGAGTTTAATGAAGGGAGGAGCCAAATTTATTATAGACACAGAGCATTGCAAGCAAAAGCTCAGGTAATTCCCGGCGGTGGACCGATTCATCTCCAGCTACACTCCGATGGGTATCTCGGTATGTATCAAAACGGCACCGTTCCGGTCGATTTGCAAGCCTTCAATACTTTTCAGAAACCGGCGAATGGGTTCCTCCGACTCCGGCTGGATACCGACGGCAATCTCAGAGGCTTCTACTGGGAAGGTTCGTCAAAATCCATTTCAAATGCTTTCTTCCCGTTAGTTTACATCAAAATCAAGCTAAATTAGACAATATTCGTTATTTTATTTTATTTTTAAAATTTTACTGGACCGTTCATGAAATTAGTTTTAAAAAATTAAAAATAAAATACAAAATTAACAAATATATTTAATTTTTGAACAGGTTCCAAATGGGATTTGGTATACGAAGCAATATCGGAGCAGTGTGAGCTTCCGAGTCCCTGCGGTTCATACGGTTTGTGCGAACCCGGCGCCGGCTGCTCATGTCTGGACAACCGGACGGTTTACTCCTCTGGCCAATGTATTCCGGCGGATTCCGGCGACTTCTGCGGAAATGGGGTCGCAAAAAAAGACTTCTGGGTTCTGAGAAGGAGCGGAGTGGAATTACCGTTCAAAGAGTTGATGAACTACCGAACCGGGTTCACCAAGGACCAATGCGAGAGCTTTTGTGAAACAAATTGCTCCTGCTGGGGCTCGCTCTACTACAACGCGACCGGGTTCTGTTATTTGGTCGACTACCCGGTCCGAACGGTGGTGGCGGTGGCCGATGGAACAAAAACCGGATACTTCAAGGTCCGACAAGCTCCATCGAGAACCAAATTAAAGATGGGTCTCGAGATCGGACTCGGAATTCTGGCCGGAATCGTCGGAATCGCAGTGATGATTCTCGGGTTCGCTAGTTACCGACAGTGGAGGCGGCGGAGGGGAATCGGGCGATTCTTCGAAGACGACGACGGGTCGGTTTCACCCGGCCCGTATAAGGATCTTGGATCCGCAAGTTTTAAATCCATTGAGATGGGTAGTGGATTTGTTCGGTGACGTAATCAGTGACGTCTTTGGGGGCTTTAGAAATGGGAAACGATAATCTCACCGACAGTGATGTAGACGCCGACCAGTTTGCATAGTTGTGGTGGGTCCCCATTTTTATTATTAATTTTTTTTTGTCTTAATTCCAGCGGAATAGTTGGCCACCCTGAGAAAGATAGATTCTAGAAAGGAGCCACTATTTGACTTTTTGAATAACATTATTGTAAATTTAATTAATAACAACATATCATAACTCAATCACTAAGTTCATATAATATACTCTTATTATAGTTGTTTACTTTAATAAATATTTTTAAAATTTAAGTCACATTTTGAATTTATTTAATAAAGTGGGTAACTAATTAAATAAATTTATATATAATAGGGTTTAAAAGTTTAATTTCTAAAGATAAAAATTAAATAATCATCCAACTATTCAAATATTAATATATTATTTAATCCATTGTTTTTTAGAAGGTTGTTCGTAATATTCAATTATGGTTGCACCATGTGTAGTATTTTAAAATATTATATTTGATTATTGTCTTATCCACTTGGATTATTATTGGTTCATTTTCTTAAATTACTAAATTAAAAAAATTTATATATATTTACGACATTTCTTTAGTCGAGAGTATCTATCAAAAGAAGATTAGAACATTAACGTTTAAAAATACATATATTAATATTTTAACTAGCTACGTTGTTATTAAGTTATATATATATATATTGACAAAATAAATGTTTATAAATGAAAATTTTAATAAATTTGGAACGTCATTTAATTAGAATAATTAATTTTAAACTATGAGATGATTTATTAGGTTTATTAAAAGTATTTAGAAAAACAATTATAAATAGGAAGAAGGGCCCAATTAAAACATGATCCATGATATCGACGTGGCCCAAGTACTTGGGCCCATTACGATTTGGGCTGGTCCGAACACGGCCCAGTCCACAATCCTCTTCCCCCCGGTGACCGCTGCACACAGAATCTCAATGGCGGCGTCGAACTATACTCTAGTTTGACTTTTGGATTTCAAAAGGTCAACTTTGTTTGTTCTTTAAATAATGTGAGCCATTTAAATTAGTTCCTTTTATATGTCCTTTGGAAAAACAATGTCGGTTTGTTATGTTGTGTGTAAAAAAGGGGTTTTTGTTTCATAGCCATCTTTTATGGGATTCCTTTGCCTTTCTCATATTCCTTCTATGGAATCATTTATCTCCTACCAAAATTTCATTAATTTGTTTATACTTTTTTTCGGGAACTAAATTATATATTACTTCCTCATTAGCCAACTCTCGATATTATAAATTATAAAACTTATAACATAGTTGCATGTTTAATAATTCATTTTTTTCTCCAGAAATATAATATTTTACAAACAACAAAATTATTTAATATTATATTATTCAATTTCCACGTCACCTAGAATATTAATTTGAGCAAACAAATTCCCAAATTTGGAGTATTTGGTATAATTGAATTTCAGCAGTAAATAAGCGAATTGATTAATGAAAGAAGTAGATGGGTAATAAAACAAACAGAAAATTCGGCGTTTCAATATCTCTGGAATAAAACGGAAAAAAAAACAAAAAAACAAAAAAACACCTTAATTATTATTTTACTCGAAAAACCGTTTCGAAGAATATAATAATAATCGTCTACGGTTGTAGTAGATAAAAATTTAGGAAGCGTTCTTAATTGGGTGGGCCCAGATATCACCATCAACCATTCATTCTCATCATGCCATAACTTGACCCCACGTGGCACCACGTTGTTCTTCCTCTAAATCCTCCTCCTTGCTTCTCATATTTATTTAATTCAAATTGCTTTATGTTACTTTCTCCAAAAAATAATAATAATAAATTAAAAAAATTAAAGTAGAACTTTTAATCTAATTGAATAGAAAAATTTAGCATCACTTTTATTATTTTATAATTCCTTTTGTAATATTCTAAAATATATAATTTTATAAATTGAATGAGATTTCGAAGTTTTATATATATATATATATATATTTAATATACGTCACATTAAACCCACGTCTCAATATATTTTATTACTCAAATTGGAAGTATTTTATATTTTTATTTTGTTAAGTCGATCTTTCTTATATAAAATCAAAAGTTGTTTACTTAACGACAATTAACTATTAACATATAAATAAATATCTATAATTGTCCGAATCCTAAGAGTAGTTATAAAAAATAAATAAAAAAATTTAAGTTTACTACCCAATATGTTTTTTTCCTAGATTTTCATATTATTATATTAAAATTGACAATTTACATATACCGAAAAAAGAAAAAAATAAAAACATTAAAAGTTGAAAATCATTACAAATTTGATATTTTTTATTTAAATTGAGAAAGTAGGAACCTAACCTTTCTACATTTGCTCAATTTAATTTCCAATACAAAATTATCAACAAAATTAGGGAAAATTTAAATAATATATTAAAAAAAAAAGTGAAATTTGAAGATTTTTTTTTTTGGATAAACATAAAGCTGCATAATAATTTTGATAGACAAGGACAGAGAAAATAAAAGGTGGGATTTTGGTAGACATATTTGAATATTAATTATTAGGAATTCTTTATGGTCTGAGAATTATATTTATTTTTCCTTAAGACAAGAACATGGATTTCATTATCTCTCCCTTTCTCTCTCTCTCTCTCCTCTCTCAAAAATCTATTTTAAAAAAATAAAAATAAAAAATAAAAAAGAAAATGCAAAAGTTCGTGTGCTTTGAATAGAGATGGAAAAAGCAGAGTAAGAGAAGAGAAGCAGACATGGAAGGAAGCCATAAGAAGCACAACAAAAACTCCCTTTTTTTCATCTTCACTTCTCCTCTTCCTTTCTTTAACCTTCTCTTTCCCTCTCTTCTTCTTCTTCTTCTTCTTCTTCTTCGTCTTCTTCTTCGTCTTCTTCCCCATGAGGAGAAGCATTGCCACATGTTACAGTGAACACGCCGTCAAAGTCTCCGATTCTTACTGCTCCGGCCCTTCCCCTCATCCCCATGTCCCTTCCCATAATCTCCCTCTCTCTGTTTCTTCCATTTACACACCCGACCTCTCATCCCCCCACCACCACCCCCTCCTCCTCATTCTTCTCCACTGGACCGCCCAACAAATGGGTCAAGCCTTCACCATCAAAATCAACTCTGTTTCCCATCCAATTCAAACCCCCAAGGGCCTCAAATCCTTCAAATCCTCTAACAACTCCCACATTTCGATCTTTTGGGACATCTCCCACGCCCGATTTGATCCCGGACCCGACCCGGCTTCCGGCTTCTACATCGTTGTCACTGTGGATTCCCAAATTGCGCTGTTCATCGGTGATGAGAGGGAGAAATTGGTGAAATTGGGGATTTTGAAACCGGATTTCGATACCCATTTCCCCAAATTCTCTCTGGTTTCTCGGAGAGAGGAGTTTTCCGGTTACGATTCGGTTTTCTCCACCAAGGCTAGATTCTCCGACGGTGGTATCCTCCACGAGATTTCGGTCAGCTGCAGCGGCGGGAAGGAATTGAACAACCAGAGGCTGGTAGTGTTAATCGACAAGAAACAGGTGTTTGAAGTAAAGAGATTGAGGTGGAATTTTCGAGGGAATCAAACCATTTTTTTAGATGGGTCGGTAGTTGACATGATGTGGGATGTTTACGACTGGCTTTTCCGACCCGAATCAGCGGTGGAGACCACGGCGGCGGTCGCGGCGTTCATGTTCAGGACGAGGAGTGGATTGGACAGTCGGCTGTGGCTGGAGGAGAAGACGAAGCAAGAAAAGCCCGGGTTTTCTCTGTTGATTCGAGCTCGTAAAAATCCAGATTAATTTTGAAAAAAAAAAAAAAAAAAAAAAA